TCTGTAAAGTGATTGAGATGATAGAACCTTGATGAGATATCACACTTAGATAAAAATAAGGAGTTGACAGTAGAAATTTCGGATTTCTTGAAGGGATTTGGACTGGACTTGAGAGATTTGCTAAGCTTGTGATGATTAGACTGAAATTTGATCTTGTGTTGACTCTGTGGTATGTGGATTCGAAAGTTCAAACTAGTATGGTGTTCCTGATGACTGACTGACTGTTTCTTGTTTTCAAACCTCGATCTTATTCTTTGTCTGATGTTTGCTTGAGGGCAAGCAAAAGCTAAGTCTGGGGGAGTTGATATATCATGGTTTTTATGGTTTTTAACCATGATATAATTCCTTTTTATTGAGTCTTTTTGGTCTTTTTAGAGTCCTAGAAGAGTCTTTGCAGGTTATAGCATGTCTGGAGCATAATTGGAGATTTTGGAACCTTTTGGAGCATTCTGGGTTGAAGCCAAGAAGTACCAAGCTCGAAGCAGAAAGTATCACATATGGTGACGTTCGTCACCAATCTGGTGACGCTCGTTACCCACTAATGAAGGAGGTCGTGGCTGTTTTCTAAAAGATTGGGAAAAATTGCAGTTTTGGCCCAGAAGTTTTAATATTTACAAAAAGGCCCCAGATCGTGTTTTAGCTTGTATATTAGGTTTTTCAGCCATTCTTTTGGCAGATATCTTGTATCTTATTATTTTTTAGAGCTTTAGAGAGAGATTTGTAGCAGAGCTTTTGGAGAGACAAATCAGACTCCTTCAGAGCAGATTTTGAACTCCTTTATTTCTACTTCTTATTTCTTTTATGCAATCTATTCTTTTCATGATGTTTTCTCAAATCACCATGTCTGAGTAGTTTGTTAGTTAAGTTAGGGCTTTTCAAAGGTTGAAGAAGAGTTTGTAGAATTGCTAAATTATTAGGAAAAATCCATTGGTTCTTCATATGTGCTTGCATTCATATCGATTTCTTAGACACATCATCTGGATTTCGAAACCCTAGGTTTTTGATAGATGTGAGAGCATTATTAATCACCTGAAGTGGTACTAGATGAGCAAAACGCCCTAGTACAAAGAGATTTGGCTTAGGAGTTTTGTGAACAATTGAACCTAATCATTACTGCATGTTTATATTATTAGGGTTTGCAAAGAGATTTGAAACTCTGTGATTTAGGCATGGTTAACTTCTGCAATGAGAATTGATTAGTTATATCTTTGCGATTCATGTTCAAGATGGTTTTAATTCATTCCTGATTGCATGCATTCTACACTCTCGGATTCAACCTGCGAATTGTCCTGACTTAGCGCCTTTAGCTTTCTGACTTTAAAAACAGTCTCAAAAACGCCCACTTGCTTTTATTACTTTAGTTATTTCGTATTACATTCATTACTTATTGCTTAGCTTAATCCAAACTTGAACTCTTTAGTGTAGTTTACTTACTCCCTTGGGATTCGATAACTCCTTGTACTACAATTGCTTTGCTGTGCACTTGCAATAGTTTTATTTGGGTAAAAACTGACCCTATCAGAGGTCCGTCGGGGGACAAGCCGGATTATCCCTTAAACGAAGGAAGTAGTTGAGGCACGACATTGAGTCGTGTACTATCGGACTGCCCCCACGGTACTCGCACGAAAAACCAAATGGGCGAAGACTCCGTTCGGTCCGAGATCTCTTCGATCTCTCTAAGTCCTCAGACAGCTCTTCTGGCGCTCTTTTCCTCGAGTTCGCAGGGTCATCTTCCCCGCTTTTTTTGACCTGTTGGTCTTGTTCGTCCTGACTCCCGCGCTCCACTAGCTCGGCCTTCTTCCGAGCACTTTCCATTCTTTTTGCAGTCTTCTTATCGGCCGCCCTTTTTGCCTTAGCTGAATCCTTCTCAGCTTTCTTGTCGGCCGCCTTCATGGCTTTGGCCAGATCAGTTTCTTTCTGACCCTTCGATGACTCAAGGCTGTCACGCCCACCTGATATTGCAATCGGCGTAGGATTTTCGGGCTCTCGAGCACCCGGAGACCCAAAGGCTGACTCCAGGTCGGCTGACAGATCTTTGAATGAAAGAGATTTCATTTTTTCTGGTCGGTTTCGTGGTCTAAGAAGGGCAGCTGAAAAACAATTTAATGGAAATTGTTAGCCGATTGAACATTTCGGTTAACACCTCGACTAATGATGACACAAAACTAACCTTTTGTTCTTGCAAGTTTTTCTTCAGTAATCTTCGGCCAAGTAATTGCGCTTATCGCCGAAAATCTCTCGGAGACGTTGTAAATATCGACCGGATCGTCTACTATGGAAAGATACCTATTACCTGCAGGGCAAACAAAACAGATTATCAAATCAGCCGTACACAAACATTTAAACTAATTTTTCAGGTCGGGCATATTTCTACCCATGACCTCTGCCCATTTCGTTCGAATTGGGATATCTCGGTCGACAACGGAGAATTCATTGTTCAATACGAAGAAGTAGCGATCTCTCCAGTCCGCCACTTTCGATTTCTGACCACCAGTCATGATGTTAAACTGCGTCCTCATACTCGTGTACTATGACCCACAGATTCTCAACTTTGCCTTGGTTCGTCTGGTGTTTGTCATCGCATCGAAGGCGGCTCGGCTCAAGGGGATGTCGTGCTTGATCGACATCACTATCATGCTGACAATTAGGCGAATTATTGCATGAGTGAACTGGCAGATCGACATTTCCTTGCGATCGGTGAACTCCAGCAACAGCCTCGGGAAGGGGAACCACAAGTAAAAATCTTTGAAGAAACACTCGTAAAGACATATCCATCCTTTGGGGACGTCCCATGGCCGCTCTGAAGGACTCGGGACCATATATACCACCCCAGGGCGATATCACACTCTTCCTTTAATGTTACCAAGGACTCTATAGTCGACTTGGTCGGCATCACTCCTAGAGCATTATCGCAGATCAGCCTAATCGTCTTCTCCCCTTTTCGTCTCTTGATCTTTTTTACTGGGGGGTTCATATCAATAATGCCGAACTGGTTGACCTCGTGTTCAACAATGATGGCATCCAGCTCGTCCGAGGTATCCATCTCGTTTGGTCCGCCTTTCTCTATTGATACGTCCCGCAACTCAGGAATCAGAAATGGTTCCTGTGTCGATGCATCTCCACTCATCAGAACGGCCCCGACCTGATCGGCGTGAAAGCGCTTGGCCGCCACCCTTTGGTTTTCTTCCCTGACCCGTTCTTGGTAGGCCCGATCTGGCACGGATAATTCACTCGCGTCCGAGGACGGATCCAATCCTGATTCTTCGACGACGACTTGTTTTACCTTCAATCGGCCTCTTACGACCTGGTCGTCTCTTGACATCTGAAGAAATTCTTACAGAGAGACGCCGATCTCATTGGCTCTCGCTTGAGCCGACCTATCTATCCCTGATTCATGTCGGCCCTCTCTGATGCTCAAACTTTTACCCATCGTAAATAAAGTCTTAACGGCGGCTTCAAACAGATCGGAGAAGTCACAACGGTGGAGATCGAACGAAATACGGCGGAGGTCTGACCAGAAAATCTAGAAATTAAAGAACAAAGAAGAGAGAGAAGAGAGCTTTCGACAGAGTTTCGCTAAAATGCAGAAGTGAAAATTTATGAGCCGAACCTCTCTTATTTATACAGAAATGAGGACGGTTATCGAAAGTCATCATGAGTTCAACAACCTTTCGCATTTCTTCTCATTTTATTTAAATCGGCCTCTTCGCTTTTCTCCTCTAGTGGTTGACACGTGTCGAACCTAGTTTTGCATGCGCAGACCTATGCCTAGTCTATACTGCTTTTGGCAGGAACTTTAGGCGGAACTTTAGGCGGTTCGCGCCCAGATTCACTGTCTGACTCGTCATCGTGCCGATCTGAACTCGAGGTAAATTTATGTTTTATATCCTAACTTTCGCAGAGGCCGACCTCATCACATGCCGAGCTACTTCTCCTAAAATTCGCCAAGTAACCTATCATCACTTGCCGAACGGGGGGGGGGGGGGGAGGGGACTTACTGTTAGAGATGAGATTCATACCATCTCTAAAAGCCCGACATGAAATCTGGTCGGCCCATTTTGGGAATTCAAAAAATACCTAGGTCGGCCAATAAATAGAAATCTTCCATTTATCAGACTAAATCCTGGAAAAACGGAAGATTAGTCTTATCAGCAGGAAGACTTTCCTATTTCACATCATCCAAAAATCATCTCTCGAGACCTAGGGCAAACTAAGCAATCTTATTGTTATTAGTTCTCGAACTTTCTTTCATTCATAGTTTAGGTCGGCGTTCTTATTCAGACGCCCTAAACCTCCGTGTATCATCTGAGCTCCAGCCTTATCTTCAATAAAGATCTCTCTTAAAACCCACTGACTCTTGTTCTCTCTATAGATCGAATTTGAGTTATTATACTTAGCAAGAGTATTTGCGTCAACATTTGCAGATCTTGAAATAAAGATAATAGAGATAGATTCAAACTCAAGCAGATTTTCGAAACAGATTTTGGATTGAATCTTGGATAATATATTTTATTAGTTTCTCGAATAATTTTATATAGATTCAAGTTTTGTGAACTTGATTTTTATTATTTTATTAGTAGAATTAACTAAAAATTAGTTTGTAAAATAATTAGAACTAGCTGATATTATAATTAAAATTTAAAATAACAAAAAAAGTTAAAAATATTATGAAAATATGAGTAATCAGTGAATTTGTTAATTAACTTTTGAAAATCTTATTGAAATAATATTTGACAAGAATTTAGTTTTAAAAAAAATTATAATCTAGACTATTTAACTATTAAAAAAATAAAAACATTAAAGCCATGAATTTTTTTTTTTTTTTAAATTAAAAACATAAAACCATACAAATTTTGAAAATTCACCTTATTGATTAGTATTCTACCAATTACATTCTACACATTCAAACGATGAATTGTGAGGTTTTCAGCCAATAGTATTCCACAATACATCTCCAGACTCCAATTCTCCACATTCCACAAAATCCCTAATTTTACAGCTTACTAAAGAGAAACGACGTCGTAACACTAACATTATTCTTTTACGAAAAGCTGACGTTAGAGAGATCTGGCAACTTCCTTTACCCAAATCCGTTTGAAGCGATGGAACACGTATCTTTGCGGGAAGAAGATGATCTGTGGAAGCCTATCGTGATGATGGAGGAATACAAAGCGAAATCGAAACTGAGTGAGAGCTTAACCTCTACAGTTTGGCTAGCGAAGCACAGGTTAACCGGAGAAGAAGCGGTGATGAAGTGTTTCGATCTCTCCAAGCTCAATCGCAATCTCCGAAGCTGTTTGGATAGCGAGCTCGATTTTCTATCTTCCGTTCACCATCCCAACATCATTCGTCTCCTCCAAGTTTTCCAAGTACGAACTCCACACACATAAATCTGGGTCCTTTCTGGCTTTTCCCGAATAAATGTGAAAATCGTTTGCTTCAGTTTCGAATTCATGTTTTCAGGATGGGGATTTACTGATCATGGTTCTGGAATATTGTGATGGAGGAACTTTATCATCGTATATTCAGCGTCATGGGAGAGTTGAAGAACATATCGCCAGGAGGTTTATGAAGCAGATTGGTATACTACTCTTTGTGATATTCAGGGTAATCATTTTTACTGGATTTGCTTCTTCTTGACTTAAACAGAGTATTGATGTTTGATGCAGGAGCTGGTTTGGAGATTATTCATGATAATCACATCATCCACAGGGATCTGAAACCCGAGGTACTGCTAGATTCATTGATACTGAGGAGTGAGAGTAGAGAATCTGGATTCAAGTTTAGTTTTTGATTGGAACAGAACATTTTACTTGATGGATCAGGTGGTGAATTGGTTTTGAAGATTGCTGATTTTAGCCTTTCAAGGTAAATTTTCAAAGAGTTAGGAGAAGAATGTTTATATAAGCCAATGCTATTGTGATAAAGATCTTTTATGTGTTTCATGTTGAAAAAAGGAAACTACTTCCGGGAAAGCATCTGGAGACAGTGTGTGGTTCTCCGTTTTACATGGCTCCTGAAGTTCTTCAGTTTCAGAGATACAATGAAAAGGTGACAGTGTGTTATGAGACTGTGATCTATTTTGAATCGTTGCCTGTTCAAAATGGTAGATTTTTGCAATGGAGATTCACAGAAAACATTGTAGGCGGATATGTGGAGTGTAGGAGCAATCCTTTTCGAGCTTCTTCAAGGGTATCCACCTTTTCGCGGTTTGAACAATGTTCAGGTAAGATCATGAATGAGAGTTATTAGTATTCTTTGATCTCAAGAGCTTCAATGCTATGAACTTAAAACCTGTTTTTTCCCACTAACTATTAGGTTCTAAGGAACATCAAATCTAGTACACATCTTCCCTTCTCTGGGTTGATTCTTCAGCAGTTGCATCCAGATTGCATCGACGTTTGTTCAAGGTTGCTTTCGATAAACCCAGGTACAGAACAAAATCTCTCGTGCATTTGTTGTTTCATCATGTCCAGATCGCTATATATGTATTCAGTTCTTTGGTTACTGTATTTTGCAGTTACACGTCTCTCTTTTGACGAATTCTACAAACACAAGTTCTTAAGGCTTTGACTTTGTCCATGATGTAAAAAAAATGAAGTCTCTTTGTAAAGTTTGTCAACTTTTCTTGAATCCTCTCCTTGTATATAAAGTTTTTGGTTATTTTGGCTTCTGTAAATAGTTTTTTTCTAGATTCTTCCTTCTTTGAAAGTGAATTCCAAAACCCATATATTAAACCCAATGGGCCTTTATAAAAACGCCTACGAAAATAAAAGACCCAATATTCGACCGAATTAAGAAAAAGCCTCTTTCGCCGGAAAATAAAATGGCTCCGACAAAGAAAGGAAAGAAGGCTAATTCAGCCGCATCAACGACGGCGAAACCCGCCGCCGCTGTTACTTCGAGCTATCCGTCGTGTCTGCGACTCCTTACACCTTCATCCGTCGCCATCACCATCCACGCGAAGCCTGGTTCCAAATCCGCCTCTATCACCGGTATCATTACTATATTTATTCCTCTGTTCTGTATATAGGTTTAATTTTTCCACACCGTCTCAGATTTTTTACTGATTTGGTTTCTCTGATTGATCTGGAGATGTGAGCGAGGAAGCGGTGGGTGTTCAGATCGACGCTCCGGCCAGGGACGGTGAAGCTAACGCAGCTCTTCTAGAGTTCATGAGCTCTGTAAATTTCTCTCTCATCTGTTTAGTTTTTAGCTCTTACTATATAGCTGAATCATGAACTCCTTCTCTTTTAGCATCTGGATACTGTTATCACATATATATATATTGCTTTCAAATTGTCATATTCTCTGCATGCGATTTCATGCGCAGGTTGCTAATCTTCCGATTTGGCTCTCATTTTCTGATAAGTCTGATGAAGAATCTTGTCTCTGTAATGTTTGATTCGACGATTAGAGTTCTCCTTGTGGTACATATAGCCTAGATGGGTATAAAGACCTTTCTTTGATAGGATATGAGCAATGAAGATCTTTTGTTAAGATACATGCAATTAGTTGTGTCCTGATCTAGATTGTAATGGTTATGTGCTGCGTTCGGTTATTTGTCATGTCTGCTGATTTTGAGAGTTAAAGAGGTGAATCTTTCTCAGTCACATCCTCACTATTAGATGTTATCTGATACAGGTTTTAGGGGTGAAGAGAAGACAAGTCTCATTGGGTTCGGGATCTAAGTCTCGAGATAAAGTTGTGATTGTTGAGGATATGACCCAACAAAACGTTTTTCAAGCTTTGTCCGAAGCATCAAAACCTACCTAAAACAATCCCCAAAGACTAACTTTATGGAGGAACTGGAGCACCAGAAGCTAAGTGGTTGATCTTCTTCACTAAAGGTACGAAGTGGGATTAGGAATTTGCAGTTCGGTAATAAAAGAGATCATTGGTTAGATAAGCTTCTATATGTCTCTGTCTTTGCTTCATTGAAGTAGCAGTTATGTACACTAACTTTTGTGATAATATCTGAATGCAAGTTTGAACAAAAAATAAGAAAAAAAAAAATCCTCATTGATGTTGCCACAATTTGAATTTGAACATATTCAACATTGTTTCAAGAATCAAAATCTAAAAGCCCCCAAGAAAAAAGAATGTTTCAATCAAGTCACTTTATTCATCCGACTACGCAAGAAAACGTACGAACTGGGAACCGTAAGCACAACACTAGCCCACTCAACTTTTCCCCAAACTTCATCATTGCGTCTCTCAAGAGCAATCACCGCACACCAAATATTCTTGTGTTGACAATTACAGCCTTGACGCGTAAACTTATTCCACAAGATCAAGAGTTTCCCATTGTAGTTGGCTACATCAACTACATCATCACCACCACAATACCTAGTCAACGTAGCAATTCCTTTAATCTCTCTCAGTTCTCTAAGCTTTATGTCAAAATACCGCAAGCGACGTTTTTCGTCACAAACATAGTACACATTGTTTATCAAACACATGAATCCTTTTTTTCCATCGTCCCACTTACCTTGTTTCGGATCATAACCATAGTCTTTCTTCCCGTTGCATCTAAGGAAAAGCTTTCCTATCGTCACCTCTAGTTTTTTTATCTTCGAGAAGCGGATCTCTTCTCCAGGATCAGGTAAAGGCTCCCAAGTTTGAGTCCTTGTGTCGAAAACCTCAGCCCAATTCGCGGTTTCATCTGCCTTGCAACCTCCCATTACATATATTTTCCCATCGAGGACGCACGCAACAGCTCTCTCTCGAGCTACAGTCATGTTGGAGAACTTACGCCATAACCAAACGTCCTTATCAAGGACCCATAAGACAGAGGATGGAGCATTGGTCTGGGTTAGTGCGTAGTAATCTGAACCAACCCTAAGGACTAACAACGGTACGCGAGGATAGTAGGAAGAGGGTGTTGGTACCAAGAGAGTTTTCCCGGTAAGCTTCTGCTTCTTCCCGATGTTGTTGGTTAGGGTTTGATCTGGCTTTAACCAGAGACTATACCAGGTCGGAGGGAGATCATCGGATAACTGTAGGCAGACATGGAGGACGTTTTCAAAGGTTCTGACGTGAAACCGGGCCATGGTGAGGTCCATGGATAAGATGAGAGAGCGAAAGGTCTTGCAGACCAAGGAGAGTTTCGGGTAGTACGATTGCGACATGCGGGCTAAGCAGCTGACAATGATCTCATTAGGAAGCGACGAAAACGATGGAGATGGAGGATTTGTTTTCTTCTTTTTCTGCTGTCGCTCGAGTTTGGGATTCATAGCTGCAGAGTTAGAGTAAAACATGATTAGCGCTTAAAAGTTAGCATACTTATATATACCTTCTGAAGAAGCAAAACGATCCCTGAGACGATTAGGAGATTTTGTTTCGACTTTGGACTCCATAGTCGTCATAAGTACCTCTTAATTGAATACTAAACCCTTTCATATCAAGATTGTGTAAATTACTAAATTATGATGATCATGATTCAAGATAGTTCTCAGATATTCTGGATATATTTGTCAATATCTTAAATTATAAGATTTAGTGTATCTTAAATATATTTTCTATATATTAGTTCAAGATTCTATTGTTTTTAATTTTATTAAGATAGTGACTAAATTAGAATTCGCCTATGTGCGTTAAAAAAAAATTGAAAGTAAAATCGAACTACAAAAAATTAATAATCTCAAAATGAAATTACAAAAAATCTAACAATATTTATTTTATTTTGATTACAACTTTTCAAGTAAAATTTATTACAAAATTCTAAATATTTATGGTTTCACAATTTTGTTATATAATTAATCATACAATTTTCTTAATCTAATCGAAAAATGTTTGTTGTCCTTTTTGCTTTTAAAATTCTTCCTTAATTTAATTTTACATTTTTCTTAATTTTCTTATTTACTTTTTGGATTTTTAAAACTTTTCTATTTATTATTAGTAATTTATAATACAATTTTTTTATCTAACAGGAAAAAAAATTCTAACTATTTAAAGTTTTAAATTCTTATTATATAATTCATTATACAATTTTCTTAAAAGAACCTAATTGGAAAACATAAAATATGTTTTTTTTGTTTTTTTTTGTTTTAAAATACTTCTTTAATCTAACTTACTTTAAAAAAAAAATTCTTATCTATTTTTTGATTTTTATCACTTTTTCCTGTAGTATCATATTGACTGATCATATAATTGCTTTTATATAATTTTTTTTTTGTAATCGATCTAATTTGTATTATTAATTAATTTTTTTACACATATAATAATTAGCAATTTTGGACGCATCTAATTTTATATAATAAAATAAAGTTTAAATAATTATTTTTTTTATTTTAGTACTTATTCTTTTAAAATTAGAATTGGATTGTATTTTTTATTATAAAATTCAAAATTCAAAATTAGTAATTAACATTGTCATAATATGTGTTAACTAAACGATAATATTTTGCCGTATCTATAAAATATTGTTAACTTTTTACTGTTATTTTTTAAAAACAACTATATATATTTAAATAAATTTTATTTTAAATTTTTTACAAAGTGAATGATATTTAAATACTATATATCCAATTAATTGGTAGCAGATACATAATTGATAGTGGATAGTAAACGGATCACACAGCGTTTTTCAAGCTTTGTCCGAAGCATTAAAACTCAGGGAACCGGATCATTCATGTTCATTGTGCAGAAAGGTCGAAGAAATCAATTCTCTGACTCATTTTCCAATCAGTCGAGAAGTCGGGGGCAGTTGTTGGGTCCGGCTTTACCATGCACAACGATGGCGTAGCTTGGCCACCAACTCCCTAGCGTACTGTTCTCGGACAGTTGGCGGGCTTTTCGAATCGCGCATGTGCCACTAACCCACCTGCTCATCTGGCATGCCGAATGGATGAGACAGAACGAGAAAGATTTGTATACAAGGAAAGGTACCCTTAAAAAAGACAAAGGGAGCGGGACCGAAGAGGAGACCAGAGAATGAAATGGAGGGAAAGAGCACAAGCTTGAGAGAAAGATTTAGAGATCAAAAGAGAGACCTTCTTGAGAGTCCGACCTAAACAGAAAGAATCAGACCCCGTCTCGAACAAGCCAGACCACAATGCAGCGTAGTCGAAAGAGAACATCTCATTCCCCGAGATAAGACCAAACAGGATAAGTCTCTATTTAATCTGGAACCAAGCCTTTATACTTGCTACTTCTCTTGTCATTATAGAACTCTTATGAAACACCTTCTAAACATAAAGGCGTCCCGACTCGGATGAGACGTCTAACTTTAAACCCGTAGAATTATCCTCCTGAGTTTTTATTCTCAGTAGAACATTCATTGACTTCGGCGTTCTTGGGCGTCGGAAAACCTTCAGGAGGAAAATCCATTTTTAGTCCTCCTGAAGGTCCGACTGACCTCTCATTTAAGTGCTCGTAGGACTCAAATAGAGTCGAATAGACTCTCATTGGTGCCCACAGGGCGCAAACAGACTTTATCCTGAAATGACTCGTCGCCGTTCTTTTCAGAGGACAAAACCTGAAAGCTAGAGACACGACTCTACTATCCAAACGAATAACATACTCCCCATTTGGCATTTTGTAAATTAAATGCTCCCAAATAATTATAGAAATAATAGAAAAAAATTAGTTTAACTCGACATAAATTTTATACCATGGAACCGAACTAAATTTTTGTTGTTTAATTCGACAAGATTTTTTTCTAACCCAAACAAACGGGATCAACTTAAAGTTTTAAATCAAATGAACCGTAAAGTCTATAATTAATCAATGACACTTATAAGCATTAATACTGAAGAGATTTTGGTGGTAATAAGATAAATCAGTCAAAGCAAAAGAATTATCCAAACTTTGACTAAACCAACCAACAGTAAATACATAATGACAACATTCTGTAACATACAAAATTTTCTATATAATGCCAAAAATTTCGTCGAATAAAAATAATTTTAACAATTATTTAAAAAGCATGTTTACTTAAAGAAATCTTATGTGTTAATACCTAAAGAAAAATTAATGCAAAATAATATCACTTCATAAATAGCACTTGTGTACACTAACTTTTGTGATAATATCTGAATGTAAGTTGGACACTTGGACAAAATAAAATAAAATCCTCAATGATGTTTCGGGTAGTACGATGTCGACATGCGGGCTAAACCTAAACAGCTGATCAGTAACATCATTGGGAAGCAACGAAAACGACAGAGATGGAGGATTGGTTTTCTTCTTTTTCTGCTGTCGCTCGAATTTGTGATTCATAGCGGCAGAGGTAGGGTAAAACATAATTAGCGCTTACAAATTAGCATAAATATGCCTTCTTAAGAGCAAACTAATATATGCGCCTTGTTTCGATTTTGGACTTTATATTCATAACTCATATATAAGTGCCTCTTAGTTTTACTTAATTGAATACTAAACCCTTTCATCTCAAGATTGTGCAAATTATGATGATCAACATACATCTAAAACATTATGGATATATTTTTCAATATCTAAAATTATGAGATTTAGTTTATCTTAAATATATTAGTTTAAGATTACATTGTTTTTCTTTTTATTCATATTATAAAATTTTATAGATTTATTGTAAGATTTGTAATTGGTTGTATTGTTTATTTTTGTAATTTTAAAAAATATATTTAATTATAGTTTATAATATAAATTCAAAGTTACCCTAACTATTATTTGAGAAGAATGTTTAGTAAAAAAAATCTGATGTGTCATCACCTTAGAAAAAGTTAGTCTAAATTAATGGTGACATGGAAATGTGACATGGCAAATTTCCTAAAATAAACAAAAATATTTTGATT